AGAAAGTGGAGCTAGCCAGACAAAAGAAATATACCAATGAAGCCAGAGCAAAGAGACGAATTCCCATCGACCCTAATGTTCCTTCATGGGCTCAAGGTTTTGTTAATGCAATACGGGCCTTCGGAGCAGCTCAGGAGATAAATCAGATGATTGCAGCTAATCTTGCTGCAGAGGCCACGACAAAGTCAAACAATGAGGACTGAAACAACAATACTCCAGGGACCATGGTTTTACTTCAGGGAGATGCATCGAATGCCCCGGCAGATAGAGAGACTGCATAGACAAGACTCTTCTTTACCTCTTTCTCTGTCTTATCTTTCTTCAACTCTGGGTACTGTCATTACTTGCATTTGAGGAAAAATGCTTTTATTTATGGTGGGGTGAGACCCACCTTGTTTTGCTTGTTTCAGATATTTGTGTTTTGGTGTACATTTGAGTTATCTATTTTAATTTGTGTTTTTAAAACTGCTTTGCAATTGTTTGAGCTTATGGTTCTCTTTTGGGTTTAATTGCAAAATAACTTTGACCCTTCCGATTTTTTTTGAGTTTTTCACACATTTTTGCCTCCTTTCGTGAGTTGAATGTGGCTGTTCTTTCGCAAAAATTTGAGTCTCGGTTTTGATCAATACCGATGACTTGAATAGTGCTCTCAATTGAACGCACATGAATGTACGACTACGGTGAGGCCAAATGATGTTGCATAGACAATATGTGAACTCTTTGCATCTCGTTGTGATTAGCCATTTATCGAATTGATTCTCTTGTAATGACCGTTGCACACTAGCAAAAGTGTGTAGTCTTGGTTGATTTAAGTGTCGATGCCTTGTGTGATTTAGCTTGCTTTGAACCATGCTTGAATAAACCTAGAATTTTGCCTGTTAATCTGATTGATTTAGAAAGGTGTCCTCTTGATGTGATCTTAGGCAATTTTAAAAAGTGTGAGCCAAATTTGACATATACCTCTTTTGCGGCCTACCCGTGAGTGTATGAAACTCTTCTGAACACCCTTTGAGCCTTACCTTTCTTTGGAAGAACCTTGACGAACCATAGACCTTACTTGACTCACTATCTATAATCCTCTTAATTTGTGGTTTAGTGAATAGCCAACTTAGGCCAAAAGCCTAAGTTGGGGGTGTGGTGAAAAGGAAAAGGAGAAGTCAAAAAGTGTAAGAAAAGTCTCCCTCAATCCCATTGTATTGCAGAACATAATGGAAACCCTTATAAAAAAAATTAATTTTGTGGAATAAAAGTGCATCAATAAAAGGTGACTTAGAAGTACTAGAAAAAGAATTAATAAAGGAAAATAAGGGAATGCCTTTGAAATACCACATCTCACCAGGAAGAAGTCACTGAGCCTAAATGACCATACCTTTGCACTCAGCCCCATTACAAGCCTTAGAAAGACCTTTTTTATCGTGAGTAAGACGAATCGAAAGTGGATTGGAAAATAAGGGCAAACCTATGGGTGAAAGCATGCATTGTGTTCCTCTTTTTGAGTGCGAGTGTTGCTCCTGATTCCTGATCTTGAATTGATGAACCTCTATGTGTGAATATGGAATCATTCTTCATGTGAGGGCATTTAGATACTTTTTGTTGAACTTGAACTTGCACAAGTAGCAAGTATTGCGAGCTTTAGAATCTTTGGTAATGGTGTATCACAATCTGAATCTTTGAGTACACAATTGATCCTTGCATAAGTAAATTGAGTCTTGTTGTGTGCATTTTATGATTGAGTCTTGTGTAGCACCGTTTGAGACACCCTTTTTGAACGGCTGAACATGAGTTTGCTTGAGGACAAGTAAAATTTTAAGTTGGGGGTGTTGATGAGTCCACAAATTGGACTCATTTAGGCTTTATTTTGATAAGAATAGTGTCCTCGAATGTTTATTTTGTCTCAATATCTGATGAAAACTCTTAAGTTTCGGGCATTTGAAGTTTTATTGAAAACATGGACACTTAGGCGCAAAAAGGAACAAAAATGCTAAAAGGAACGAAAAAGCTGAAGCCTGAGCATTTCTGATACTTTTGTTGAGCTTGAACTTGCACAATTAGCAAGTATTGCGAGAATGAGAATCTTTGGTGATGGGGTATTACAATTTGAATCTTTGAGTACACAATTGATTCGTAAATTGAGTCTTGTGTAGCACTGTTTGAGGCACCCTTTTTGAACGGCTAAACTTGAGTTTGCTTGAGGAGAAGCAAAATCTTAAGTTGGGGGTGTTGATGAGTCCACAAATTGGACTCATTTAGGGCTTTGTTTTAATGGAAATAGTGTCCTTGAATGCTTGTTTACCTCAATACCTGATTAAAATGCTGGAGTTTTAGGTATTTGAAGTTTTAGTGGAAGCATGGACACTTGGGAGCACAACGGAGCAAATAGGGCTGAAAAGAACAAGAAATGGAATCCTGCGGATCGCCGAGTTTAACATGGCGAGTCGCTGAAATGACATAAGCCGACCTTCGTTCCAGTACGCAAAGCCTTAAAGGAAGTGGATCAAAAGGCGAGGAAATGAGTAGTCGGCGGGTCGTTGATCAGTTCCGCGAAGCAGTACTGTACCGTCCAATGATCCAGAATACAAGGATGCTAAAGGCAAGACACTCAAGGCGATGAGCTGATCAAAGGGCGGATCACCGAGTTCATCGGCGATCTCGACTAATGTTACCGAACAATCCTCCGCAGCACAATCTGTGAAAACTATAAATATTATTTAGAGTTGTAGTCTTAAGGGAGATTGTAGTGTGGACCAATTATTATTATTATTTTCACTTTAGAACATATTTTAGCTAATATTTTCTCTCAAGTTTGGATAGGGTTTTGTGGAGACTTGAAGAAAGGAGTTCTTCTTCCCCAAGTTGGAAGTGGATCTTCTCTATTAACCTCCCTTTGCTTAATTTAAGGTTTAATTTCTTATACCCAGTTGATTTCATTATCATGGTAGGTATAATTTCTTATTTCTTGATATGTGGCTAAAAACCCCATTCTTGGGCTGTGATTTAGCAAATATGGGTTGATATTCTTGTTGGGTCTTTCTTGCTAATAGGTTAGATGTATGTTACTGGTGATTTCACCTAGTGGTTGTGGTTTAATCTAAAGGGTTTTTAGTTGCAAATACGAAGCCACGCATGTGTTTTCGGCTTGCCCGGGAGGGAGCTCGCGAAACCAAAACCACTACACTGATGGCCTAAAGAGTGGGTCGACATGAGGTTCAGCCCAAGAGGTGAGCCCTAGTCCCATATCCTAACACTCAGCTTAAGAGAGTGAGTGGGGTAAGGCGAAGGCTGATCTTCATACGGCAAATGGGTGTCCGAGAGGAACGCATTTGAAACGGGGTAAGTTGCCCGAGAGGGAACTTATTTCCATTTAACGCTTAGCCTAGTCACTATTATCTTGCAAATTTCCTATTTAAAGCATGCACCCAGCGATTTATCTGAACTTGTATTGCGGTCACATACCAAGAACCTTTCCCCATACTTGATTTTCTTGTTTATTTGCTGTTTTAGCACTTGTTACAAAACCCCCATTTGATATTTGACACTTTCGTGTAACTCCCTTTACTTTACTATGTATTTTATTGCAAACGTCTTTAACTACGACTAAGTTGAATGAAATTCTAATTGGTTATTAATTCTCAAAAACCACTCCCTTGGGACACGACCCCAACCCTCAGTTGGGTTACTATATTATCAACGATCATAGACACTCATATCGTAGGATAGTGTCGTTGGTCACGATAAACATCAAACTACAATCATGAAGGGAATTTTTATAGGAATTACTATGGTAACCGATATGATAAAAGTGTGCCCTATGTCCCATTGGGAAATACAGATGCTGGATCAAGTTTGACTAGCATGGAAGATATGATACAAAATATGACGAAAAGGTTCAAAGAAAATAATGCTAATGTAAAGAAGATGTGTATTGACTTGTCTGGAATCGGTCAGAAAGTTGATACCCATGAAGTTTTGATTAAGAAACTTTAGCAACAGTTTTTTCAGTTGTCCACTATCGATAACCCATGTCAACCAGGAATACTTCCTAGCAACACGGTTCAAAATCTGAAAAATGATAGCCATTTTATGATAGTCACTTCTAGAGGTATAAAGAAGATTGTGGATCCTCCCATGTCGATCAAGGTGAAAAGTGTACTAGAGAGGGAGTTAAGAACAAAGATGAGCTAGTTGAGGAGCCAGTTGTTGAAAAAGAGAAGGAACGTCAGGTGACCTAAAAAATTATTCCTATGCCTAAACCTCCAAATTCAATTTCCCCATAGGTTGGCGAAAAAGCTTAAAGAAGGAAAATACCACAAGTTTATAACTATGTTGAAACAACTTTCCATCAACGTTCCTTTAATAAAAGCCTTGGGGTAAATGCCTGGGTATTTGAAATTCATGAAAGACTTAGTGATCAAAATAGGGATGTCAGTTTTGAAAATGAAAAAAAGTTGCAACATTGTAGTGATATTTGTACTAGGTCACTTGTGCAGTCTAAAGAGGATCCTAGAGCTTTCACTATTCCTTGTACCATCTGTATGTTGCACTTTGCGAAGGCCTTGTGTTACTTGGGTGCTAGCATTACCATGATGCCATTGTCGATCTGCAAAAAGTTGGGTTTGGGAGTTCCCAAGCCGATTGCGATGCGTTTACTAATGAGTGGTAGAACTGTGAAGAAACCTATTGGAGTGCTCCAAGATGTCCTTGTGAAAGTTGAGTCATTCATCTTTTCGGCAGACTTTGTGATACTGGATTGCAAGGTTTATTTTGAGGTCCCCATTATCTTAGGGAGACGATTTCTTCCTACTGGGCGTGCATTGGTTGATATGGAAAAAGTGTAGATGAAGTTTTGATTGAACAATGAAGAGGTAACTTTTAACATATGTCAGTCTATGAAGCATGAAAGTGACCTTAAGTTGGTTTCGGTAGTCAATCATACTGTGAAGCAAGAATCAGAAGTGGCTATTGTAGAAAGGTAAGGTGTTGAGGCACTAGCAGCTGTGATAATGAACTTTGATGGAGATGGAATTGATGACTATGATGAGTTAGTCGCTGCGTTTGATGGGGTCAGTTTCATTTTGCACCAAAGAAGCTTGTCTTAGACATAAAAAATCGAGACACTACTCCGGCACGACCATCCATTGATGAGCCTTTGAAGTTGGAACTGAAGGTTCTTCCATCTTATTTGCGGTGTGTATTTTTGGGCCAGAACAACACTTTGCCAGTTATTATTGCTGATGATTTGAGTGAAGGGCAAGTAAAGGCTTTGATATTGGTATAGAACCTGTTTAAAAGGGCTATTGGTTGGACCATTGCAGATAATATTGGGATTCCACCGGCCATTTATTCTTGAAAAATTCAACTCATGCCGGACATGAAACCAAGTTTTGAACATCATCGGAGACTGAACCCCTAGATGCAAGAAGTTGTGAAGAATGAGATCATTAAATGGTTAGATCTAGGTGTTGGGTTTGCCTAGTTCACTGTGTGCCCAAGAAAGGAGGAATCATTGTGTTTCCTAATGCTAAGAAAGACCTCGTTCCGATGAGGCCGGTCACTAGTTGGAGAGTGTGGATGGATTATCACAAGTTGAATAGATGTACTAAGAAGGACAATTTTCCAATGTCTTTCATGGATCAGATGTTGGATCGTCTCACTGGAAAGGGTTGGTATTGTTTTATTGATGGGTACTCGAGCTACAATCAGATTTCCATAGCTCCGAAAGACCAAGAAAATACCACTTTCACTTGCCCTTATGGAACTTTCGCGTTCAAGAAAATGCTATTTGGTCTATGTAATTCTCTGGCGATCTTTCAGCGTTGCATGATGTCTATCTTTTCTGATATGGTGGAGGAAACTATTGAGGTATTTATGGATGATATCTCTTTAGTAAGTGATTTGTTTGATGATTGTTTGGCTCATTTAACTGAGGTGCTTAAACAGAGTTAAGAGTGCTATCTTGTGCTCAATTGGAAAAAAATGCCACATCATGGTGAAATAGGGTATAGTTTTGGGTCTTCGGATTTGCAAAAAGTTACTAATGTTGATAGAGCTAAAGTTGAGGTAATAGAAAAACTTCCACCTCCCATCTCTGTTAAAGGTGTTAGAAGTTTTCTTGGGCATGCAGGTTTGTACAGAAGGTTCATAAAAGATTTCCCAAAAATTACACACCCATTGTGCAAGTTTCGTGAGAAAGAGTGTAAGTTTGAGTTTGATGATGCTTGTCAGAGAGCATTTGAGGGGTTGAAAGAGAAGTTGATTTCTGAACCTATCAGTATTTTACTAGATTGGGGACAACCGTTGGAAGTGATGTGTGATGCGAATGGGGTGGCACTTGGTGTGGTATTGGGAGAGAGGCGAGAGAAGATTCTTCATCCGATTTACTATCCCACAAAGCTCTGAATGTGGCTCAAAAGAAATATACTATGACTGAACGGGAACTCCTTGCTATGGTTTTCTCATTTGAGAAATTTTGATCCCACTTGCTTGGTACTAAGGTCATAGTGCATACTGACCATTCTGCATTGAGGTATCGATGGATAAAAGGGATATAAAACCGAGGTTAATTATATGGGTTTTTTTGTTGCAAGAGTTCAATTTTGAGGTAAAGGATAGGAAGGGAACATAAAATCAAGTCGCCGATCACTTGTCTAGTTAGGAGGAGGAAGCTATGATATAGCTAGGAGATGGAGTTGAGATAAATGATGCATGCCTTGATGAACAGGTATTGGTTGCTTCTTATGACCTTATTCCATGATTTGCAGATTTTGCTAATTATTTGGCAAGTGATTTTGTGCCTTCGGATCTGTCATTTAGCAAAAAAAAGGCCATGTTTGATGTGAAGAAATTATTTTGGGAAGAGCCTTACTTGTTTCGTGTTTGCGCTGATGGGATTATTCGTCACTGTGTGCTTGAGGTTGAGATGCTTAGTATACTTGAGGCGTGTCATTTGTCGCTTGTTGGTGGGCACCATAGTGGTTTTCAAACTGCTCATAATATTTTTTCAGTGTGGATATTACTGGCCTACAATCAACCAAGATGCTCATGATTTCTCCAAGTATTGTGATCGTTGAAAACGAAAAGGGGGAATTTCAAGGAAGCAAGAACTACAAATGAATCTGATATTGATGATTGAGTTGCTCTATGTTAGGGGTCTTGACTTCATGAGCCCATTCGTGAGTTTGCATGGGATGAATTATATTCTTGTTGCCGTTGACAATGTATCAACATGGGTGGAAGCAATTGCACTTTCAAACAATGAGGGAAAGAGTGTCACCGCATTCCTGAAAAAGAGTATCTTCTCCATATTCGGTGCACCTATGACAATTATTAGCGATGGAGTTTTTCACTTTTGTAACAAGTTATTCAAGGCATTCCTAGAGAAGTATGGTGTTTGTCACAGCATAGCAACTCCTTATCATACGCAGTCTAGCGGGCAAGTTAAAGTGTCAAATAGAGAGATAAAGTAGATTCTTGCAAATACTGTGATTGCAAACAAAACTGATTGGTCTAGAAGGATTGATAATGCTCTATGGGCCTATCACACTCCATTCAAGACTCCCATAGGTATGTCCCCTTATCAACTAGTATATGGGAAGTCTAGTCATCTGCCTATAGAACTAGAGCATAAAGCGATGTAAGCACTCAAGAAGTTCAATTTGGATTGGGGAGCAGATTCAAGTCAAAGAATGAGCTCAATGAGTTTCTCCCAAAAGCATATGAGAGTTTAGCCTTTTAAAAGGAGATGCTGAATAAGTACCATGATCAAAAGATCGAGAAGCGCAAATTTGCTCCTGGTCATCTGGTATTGTCATTTAACTCAATGTTGCACTTGTTTCCTAGCAAACTCAAGTCCAAGTGGATCGGGCCATTCAAAGTAACCCAAGTATTTCCACATGGGGCAGTTGAACTCTTGAACAAGGAAGCAACGAGGTTCAAGGTGAACGATCAGAGGATAAAGGTCAATTTGGGGTAAACTGAGAATGTCAATGAGGTGATAGGGGAATGGGGTCTTGAAGAAGTCTGAGTAATCAAGGTGTCTGCGTCGTGCCGCTGTCACACCCCGAGGCTACCCCCTGAGCGTAAACACGAAACCTAGGATCACGAGTGACCCCAAGCTAACCCTGAGATGGCATATCATAAGCATACTTAAAAATTACCGAATAAATATACTATGCGGAAGCTTAAACAGAGATAACTAAAAGTGGGGAATACCCAATACTGATCTGAATATATAAAAGACTATGAGTTCAATAACAACTAAAAGATCAAACTCAAATATAAAGCTGAATCTAATACTATGTCTTAAATAAGTCTCTAACTGACTAGAGATGCTGGAACATGGCCCTAGCTAACTCTAGCAAAAATTGAAACTAAAATGAAAGATTGAATGTAAAAGAACATGTATGTCGTCGTCAAAGAAGGAGGGCTCACCACTGATAATGCTTAATATGGATCGGGAGCTGATCTACACGCGATCTAAATGCTGAGGACCTGAACGTATATAACGAAAAGATTTAGCACAGAGTATGCGTCAGTACCTAAAAGGTACTGAGTATATAGGATAGGATAAAGTTGAACACTATATATAACTTAATGAAGTATACTAAACAATGATATAATCTAAACATGATAAAGATAATGAGATATACTAAATATGAACAAACTGAATGCAATGACCAAGTACATTACATGCTGAAACTAAATACTGAAATATTACTGGTAACCCGGTCAATTACACTAGAGTCTTACTGTGGGAGCTACTATTAACTGACATAAAATCACATGAGCTAAACGTGGAGTCCAATATACCTTGCCAGGAGTATAAGGGCATGACTAGTGTGATCACTAAAATTTAATGCCCACACAAAGGACTTATAAACCTATGGGGGCACGTAGTTCTGGGATTATAACGGTGACTGAACTAGCCTAACTCGGTATTAAGACCACTCCCTACTAGAAATGTGTACAATACAATATAACTGAAATATACTAGATAACTCAATATTCTAACATGCTAACTGAAAATGCAACATTAAAGTACTGATAATAAAACATTCAAAAACTGGGGCTTGTATATCTATTTATCTGTCCTAGATAGTGTAATTCATTAATTAAAAGAAATACACAACTAGGGTTCTGTGTTTCATGCAAGAATCTAAGCAAAACCATTACTAAGACATGATAATCTGATTAAGATAGTTATGACAATTAAATCATAACAATAATCTGAAGTTCTAAAACCCAAGGTCTAAGCAATGTTTACGGATTCAAGATTTTGACTAAATTCTAGGGACCTAATGGGTGTAAGGAACCCACTAATGAAATCCCACATACCTGGTGATGAATTCCACGAATAAATCTTTTGATTTTAAGGCTGGAACTGAGGAAAACTTGTTGCATTCTTGGATAGGGTTTGGTCGAATGCTTTTTTTTATTTATCAAATTGGACTAATTTTTGAGAATGAATTGACTAAGGTAAGTTCTGATTTAGTTACTAGGTTTAATCTAATCAAAACGACGTAGTTTAGGGGTCTAATGCTTAGGGTGAAAAACCAAAACGACCCTAACTTAAAATCTGATGGGGCCACCGACGGACCGTCGAATGAACTACAGTCCATCCTAGTCATTCGCCGATTGGTTTCAGAGACTGGGATCTAGGGGTCTTGAACCACGGACCAGGATCACGGACCGTGGTCCCACCTACGGTCCATAGGTCCTGTCGTTGGTTGACCCTTAGTTGAAATTCCTGGGGTCCTGGGGTCCTGGGGAGGGAGTTGCATGTGGCCAACAATGTACCCCACCTACGGTCTATGGGTAAACCTACGGTTTGTAGGTAGGCCCCGTTAGTGGCACCTACAACTTCTGAAAATCTGCATTTGGTCAGTTTTAGAATCTGGGGTGTTACAGTCGTGACGTTAAATTAAGCGCTTCTTGGGAGGAAACCCAAGTTCAAAACTCTAGCCAACTATAGGAGTTTTTATTTTCGATATAGGGAGTTTTTCTTAAATTTGTAGTATTCTAGATAGATTTTTATTTATTTTGAGTCTTAGTTTGGCTAGACAAAGGTAGAATAGGGTATGTGTCTATAAAAATGTAAAAGGAAGTCCTAATGTTTGCTACGTGTTCAGGAAAAATGAGGCAAAACCTACAGAATTTGTGCTAATGCAGAGGTCTACGGGTCCCATCGACGGTCCGTTGGTCCATCCACAGACCGTGGATGGAATCCGTAGATCCTAGGTAAGTTTTCTGAATTTCACTAAGTGTTAGAGCGAACCACAAAACCCACCGATGGACTGTCGATGGGGTCTCGTTGGTCCAAGTTAGAGTTACAGTCGACCCGACCCGGACCCCATTCAAAATAAAACCCTTCATGTTAAATTAATCCCCCATTTCCCTCTTTCCCCCCAACCATTTCAAACTGTTAAAATTACCAAATTTCATCCATTAATCCCCCAATAAATCCCATATATCCTCCTCTTCCATTTATATTTCCCTTTTCTCTCCCAAATCTACCCAAAAGCCCACCTTCTCTTCAAATTCCCCCCATTTCTACCACGAAACCAAGGTTCGAGTTCGGTGTCAAGTTTGATCGAGTCGTAAGGAGAAATCTATATGTTACACACTCACCAACTTTGTTTACTTGTAAGGTAATCAATTTCACCAAAACTTTGAGTTTTTCATTGTTTAAATTTGAAGTCACAAAGTTAAACTTCACCTTGGGTAGTTAATTGCTTGTAAAATTGTTGAACTTTAGTTTAGACACTAACCTTGAAATTATGGTGCGTGAGTGTGTTGTTAATGTCAATTGAATATGTGGGTTTGATATGTCTAGTTGGAAGTTTTGACTTAGGGTTTCGTTTTCTCTGTCTTGGAAGTCGAGTTGTGCATAATCGAAACCCTAATGATGATAAACTACCACGTAATATGTTGAAATACATGTTTGGACT